TGTGTGTGTGTGTGTGTGTGTGTGTGTGTGTGTCAGTGTGTGAGTGTACGTGATGTGTGTCAGTGCGAAGGTGGAGGTTGCAGAGAAGTAGCCTTGAGTAGGACTTAGAAGGAATGGAGTATTTCAGAATTGGTTCACCTCTTTGACTCTTAATCTGCCTACACACACACAAACACATACACACACACACACACACACACACACACACACACACAGTCTTGCCTTTTGACTTCTATAATTGTTATATGTTCCATAATTTTCTTGGACACATTTTCTAATATCGTCTCTTCTGTCAATCTCTGTGTGCAACTGTGTGTGTGTGTGACTGTACAGCTCCTAGAGGTGCGAATGCAGTACGAGCTCAACGACATAGAGTCTCCAGATGGTGGGGGCGGAGGGGGGGAGCAGACGTCGGCGCTTCCAACACCCGGCGCTTCCCCTCAGACGAGCGGCCCACCATCACACCCCTCCACCAGCAGCAACAACTCTGACGGAGGCAACATGCCCTGCCTCAAGTATGAAACTCACACATGCGCGCACACACACACACACACACACACACACACACACATACACACACACACAGTCTTGCCTTTTGCCTCAAGCACACTTGCACGGATTTAGTCAGCGCCTGAAGCATTCTTAGCCTCAGCCTTCCCATCATCCCCTTGCCACCACTCATGCCAGGCCCTCAACACACAATCGCTTCAGAACTGCAGCTGCATCACTTGTTCTCTCTCTCACTGTCTCTCTCTCCTTTTCCTTTATTTTCTCCTTTTATCTTTCTCTCGCTGTCTCGACCCCTGGCTGTCTTCTTTTTCTCCAGAGTGCGCAGTACCCCTCTGAAGCAGTCTGCAGGCTACCAGGTAGATTTGGTGGTCCAGTTAGTGTGGGTGAGTGGAGAGCCTCCCCAGCAGATCACAAGTCTGGCGCTCAATTCCTCCTACGGCCTGTAAGTACACACACCGATTTAGTCATAACTGGAATCTGATGAAGCCTTTAATAATAAAATATAAAATGTTATAACAGGAAAACAAGTTGACGTGCATACATTTTTAAAATAAAAATTTGAGATTTCAGTCGTTTTTTACTGATCCCTACCTTTTCTTACTTTTTGCTTTTTCATCCTTGTTTCTGTGCCCCTGCCTCCCCCGCTCTCCTGCTTCCTCTTCATCTCTGTCACTCCACCCCCCAGAGTGGTTTTTGGCAACAGTAACGGTCTGGCAGTTGTGGACTACATCCAGAAGACGGTTGTGCTCAACCTGGGGACGGTCGAGCTTTATGGCGCCAATGACCCCTACCAGAGGCAGCCCCGGTCGCCAAGAAAGACAAGGCAGCCGTCTGGAGGTAGGAAGAAGAAAATAACTTTTTCTTTAGATACCCATTACCCATAAGCTTTTTTCTTTCTTTCTATAACAGTAAAACCACAAGATAAAACTCACTGTTGTTCACTCCAAAGCTAAGTGGCTGCAAACAAGATTTCCAAGTCACTCTGGCATAAGCAAGAGATTATTATTTGCTTTATACTTGTCATGTTTTGTGCACATACACAAAATGTGTCCTGAATTCATAGTGCTGTCATTGAGTTTGCAGAAGTTCACTCGCTCAGAAACGTAGAATCAGCCATTTCATATATTTGGAATTTGTATAGACTTTCCACTTATTGTTGATGTCCAGCCACTAAAGCCAGTGATTTAACGTGGCCTGGCTTGTCTGGTCTTTCAGTAAGAACAAGCTCAGACTTCACTGCATGATTCTAATGTTCCTATGGTTTTTTTCCAATGTCGTCACTTGCCCTAAAACAAAAACTGTGTCTCAGCATCGTTGAACCATGATTTACAAACCCTCCTCTCGTCTTAAAGGCAAAACAAATCAGGTAAAACTCTGCAGAACATCAAATATGATTTGTCAACTTTACAAAGCACAGTGAAATTCATGTCCTCTCTTTTCCTGTCTTTTATCTAATTTTGATACACCTAAAAAAGTGCAGTTTATCACAAGGTTACTCCTGTGAATGATCTGAAAAGCAAAGTCACATTTAGTATTCAGGTATTCACTGTTTGTTTTCACTGATGTTCTGGGTCAAAATGATAATCAGACTTTTATTGAACATTACAATTTACTTGTTTTTGGCCACCGGAGCTAAATAAAGATGATTACTGAGACTCTAGTTACCTCACAGGTCCGACCTCCCTGAACCGAGTATGAGAAGGAATGAAGTCATAGAGCAGCGAAATGACGCCATCATAACTTGACGAGGTTTCACACGACAACACACCAACTCTTACTTTGGGCTTTGCTTAGCTTTCTCTGTCATCACACACTCTCACAGCCCATCCCTTGTGCAAACATTGCCACTGCAGCCTCATACAGTCGCACCACTGATAGATAATCGGATGCTTTAAGTATGGACACACTGCCCCCATGGGTTAGAGGATGGGAGTGCAGCTACGTAGACGATACCGCAGTGTCATGGTGATGCTCTGCCCCCACAAAAGTAGATGCATGAATTAATAAGCTGAGGGTCTGGTTGCTGACTGATTCCCTTTTGATGTTTGTGCAAAAATATGCTGAGAAACTCTGCATGCATCCAGACGTGCATACACACAAGCACGTGCACATGTAAATACACACACAGCATCTGGTGTCAGTGACTGGAGACCAGTGGGCTGGCACCTGTCAGAGCTTGGCGAGTTAAGCAGTAATCAGGCATCCAGCTGTGTTTCTCCGCCAGCAGGGTCTGCTGCGTGCTCGGCTTTCCGCCTCGCAGGACAATGTCACACAGGCGCACACGCTCGTACACAAAAGTGCACGTGGCAAAGGGAGGAAAAATATTGGAAGAAACATTTAAGTTCCACTAAAAACCTTTTTTTGCATTTAATGTTATGTTTCCATTTTATTTCTGTCCACTGATATTCATGAAATTTGTGGAGGGGTGGGGCAAGACCCAAGGAAGAACCCAATAAATGTGGGTGCACAACCGAATCAGGGCGCGGGACACTTTAATATTATGGGACAGGGTGATTTGCAACATTTTTGTTGATTACTCAGAGAATAATTCATGAATCTGGATTAAAAAAAAAGATCAAGCATAATTAGGGGACTGATATTTGTGAGTGTTTGTAATCTTGTTCAACTTTAGATTCAGAATAATCCGAATTTAATGAAATGTGGTTTTGTTGTTTGCAATTTAATGGGTTGAACTGTATGATCTCCGCTGCAGGTCTGTGTGACATCAATGAGGGCTCAGCCACATCAGAGGACCGCTGCAAGTCGCCTACTTCAGGTAACATGTCTCTCAGTGACTAATCGAGGACAAAGTGGGGAAAATATAAAAGAGATTTTGTTCTTTTTAGACACAAAACTCAAACAGTGAATCAAGCAAAATAGAATATATTTTAAAGCAAGAGAAGCTTTTGTTGGGGAAGAAGATTAACGTTTCAAAAGAGCCTCAGTTTTATTGAAATCGTAGCTCAGAGGTTTTTTATTTATCCATAAAATTGTCAATTTCCTTCCACCTCAGTCTGTAAAAATGCACTGTTTGAGTTCAATACTATAAATGTAGGTATTTTTAGAGTATTTTTCCCATTTGTACTCACATTCTTTTACCACTTTGCAGAGTTCAGTAGACGGGAATAAATTTATCTCCGTCGGTTTCCTGGAAAACTTGGTTATAGCCTATGAACGTATCCGATCTATGATGCTAATTCAATGTGGCAGCTGGATCATAAATTGAATGAAAGTGCAAAACAAAACTCTGCATTCTGGTAGAGAAACACACAATTAACATTAAGAAGAAAATATTGAAACTAATGACCCTTGTATGTTTTCTGCATTATTTCATTTGAGTGAAAAACAACTAAACAGTTAAACCCTCATCACTTTAAAGATGATGTGAATCAGAGATCATCTTTCAGTTTAACATTCAAATGTGTCTGGGTGCACAGATTCTACCTAAACTGATATTACAGTACATTGTTTTAATTTTAGATGAAATCAAACAAATCAAATTTTACTTTAGGAAAAAGAATATTTTCATTGTTGACTTTTATGTAACCTCCAACTCTGAATGGAATTATTTATCTCTTTGTTGATGAAGTAGTAGCTCATTGTGTTTCGCAGCAATAAGATGCTCTGTTGCCCTTTAACTCGCCTCTTCTTAATCTACATCATTAGTTTTTCAGTGCTTGGGGAGAAAAGCCCACATCCATCTCATTAGCTGTAACTTGGCATTAGCACGATGAAAAAAAAAAAAGGTCAGACAGAGAACAAATCTCAAAGTCTGCAGTCCTTCCACATATTCCCAGGTATGACGACCGTCCCTCCCAACCCCAATGTCTGCTACCACCAGACTCTACTCTCATACATCTGTCTGCTCTGCATTATTCATCGGACAGAGAGAGATAAGGTGCCTTCCTGCAAAATAATGTCTGCCTTTAAAAGTCACTTAGTCTCCGTGTTGTGCTGATGGCAGAAAATAATTGAATCTAGTTTTTATGCAGTTTTTACCTCGAAAGAAGCAGCAGCATGATGAACCGAACAATTCTTTAAATAGTATTATGTGCATTTTAAACAACTTAATCTCTTACAAGTGTCGATGTTAAATGACAAAAAATGATCCCTATTTGACCCTTTTTTCTTTTATTGTTTTTTCTGCAGATTAAATATTAGTTTGTCAGATTTTTTGTGTTTTTCTTATAATGTACATTCAATTGTTAGAAACGTTGGTTTCTAAAAAACTAACTAAAGAAATTATTTGACGCGTACTGTGACTTTGCAGTTAGGTCCATGTCCCATCGACTAACATGGAGGAGACAGGGCTTATGACCTATACCACAGCCAACCATTAGGGGTCGATTGATTTGGCTTCACTTTTGTAAAGCCATCATGCCGGTCATCTTTTTATACAGTCTGTAGGACAAACCCATGAGAAATGTCAGTGGCAATAATATTAAAGGGTTTGAAGCTCCACCTGGTTTCATTTACCAACCAAATGTATTTATAATTTAATAATCAAACAGTTGCTTTTGCTGCTGAGGACCAAATAAATCGACTCATCTTGCAGTGATAGCTTGTGAGTAGTAACAAGCCAGAGGGTTTTTCTAACTGCACATTTACTGTACTTTACTTTCCTCCTTACGCCCCTTAAGTGTTGACGTCAAACAGCAATCTACAGCAATTCTACAATGGAGGTGGTAGAGGAGGTAAGATTGGCCAAAGATTTTCCTGAGAGGCTGTGCAGGCAGGACACACATGCTCCAGATTTGTCCCCTTCGGTTTGTTTCTTCTTCTGTCTTTGTCGTAGAGAAACTGTCTCTGTCGTTGTGTCGTAGTCTCCACAGTGGGAAGAAATACACTCGCTTCTGTTGGCTTCTCTTCCATTATCTTCTGGTTCTCACTGTTTCTAATCACAACGAGTCATAGTACTGTTACTGTTATGCACTGAAGTATACGGACAGTAAAACATACATTAAGAGCTCCTGGAGCAGAAGCTAACGAGGAAGCAGGGTGGGACTACAGCTGTCTATACAATACACCTTAGTTTTCTTACGCACACACTATGCATGCTACATGTATGTAGCACGAGTGTCAAACTGTAAATGTGCTTGCGTTTGGTATCTGTCCCAATATGATTGTTCATAGTACAGTACAGTATGATGACACCTCAGTGAGGAGAGCAACTCATCTGTCCAACTGTGTCTTTGTGAACCTCCAGTGTGTTGTTGACAAAATTACTTATCCACTGTTCAATTCAAATCAAGCATTTCCTTTCAGTTCGAATGAGGGATTAGAAAAAGTCTGTCGCCATAGAGACGCACATTTACAGTATACTTATATACTCGTATGAAAAGCCCAGCTACCTTAAGAGCCCTACAGGCTCTCAGTGCACATGCAGGTATTTCCACGAGAATGGAGACATTACCCCTTAAAAAGTTTTTGGTTTCATGACGTTTAGTGACCACATGACAGCATAGCTCCACCTCTCTCTATAATAAGTAACTGTCCGCAGCTTTTAAATTCTAAGGTAAAAACGGGTAATGTGCGGGAGCTGGATAACAACAATCTGTGAGTAAAAAGAAAAACTGAATGAGAGCATCAGACATTCAAAGGAAAACTGAAAATGTATTCAAGCTTGCTTTATAGGGTATCGCTATTTTTATTCACAAAGGTTTTTATTTCAAGATTCATCTACTTTTTTCACCTACAGACAGAGAAATAATAAGTAATACTCTCATCAATTCCCTCAGAATGAGAAAACTAGTGATGCTGATGTGAAAATCCGATTTGCTTTTGTCTTGAATGAAAAATATGGATTTATATGGGGATGTAGACGTGGAATGAGGTGATCATGGTTGGAGTTTATACAGTAAACAACTGTTGCCAAGAAAGTTTTGGCTAATATTAAGTTCTGAAACCGTAGTCAAAGTTTACGTTATCCACTTACGTGAACTAGTAGATTTCCATAGTAACTTTTGTCCATCTTTTCCACTGTCTTTTTCCATCTCCTGTTCAGTATTTTCTGTTTCCTGTGACCTTCCTGTTTTTGGTGCATGCTCCTGTGGCATGAGGGTCCTGAATGGCCATGCAGTTTTCGATTTGTATCTCTTTTTTACCAGTCCTCTCTTCCAGGGCATTGTGCAGCCAGAGGTCACCTCCTTTGTTGTGTCTGTCGCAGCATGCCTCTGTGAACTACAGGGTTGTCGTCACCCAGTGTCCTCTCCTGTGAAAAGCATTTTAGCTCAATGAAACGATCCCCGGGCACTTTGTTCCGCAGCCTTTTTGTGGTTTTTATGTATTCCAGCTTTATGCACAGTCCTACCCCAGTGCTAGTTATCTAGCTTTGCATGGCATCGTGTGTTAGCTTAGACGTGTGTTTGTAAAGAGGGATGTTCTCTTTTTTCCAGCAAAGATGTCACGGAAATTAAGCTTGCCTACTGAGCTAAAGCCAGACTTGGGTAAGCCCTAACTTCGTGCCTCCAAGCAATTTGTATACAGTATATCTCTCTCACTCCAACTGGACTCCCATCACATTTATATGAGTCCAGTTTAAAAGGATTTTAGCCTCAACACTGGCAAGCTATGCAGATGTTCTTCTAAGTTTGCATGAGACGAACGTAGCACTAATCTGATCTCTTGAACTTTGGCATAAATTCGAAATTCTCTGCAGGACTCCCACCTTTTTGACCTCGTGGGGGTCTGTATTCGAGGTCAGTGGTGCTAAGATAAACTTTGCACACTCCATCTCACCGTAAAGCTTTCTGTAACTTTTGCAGCTTTCTCTTTTCTCTTCTGTGTCCTTCATGTCCTTCCTTTCTCTGTCTGATTGGTTCCTAGAATTTCCCCCAAATTGGTCACTTTAAAAAAGGGAAAGAGACTCTTTCTTCTTCAGGGGTTTATGACTTTTTTTCTGCAATACTATGCATGGAACATTAGATTTGTCAGGGGTCAACGTAGTCCCAGTGTTTTATACCTGTAACCAAAGCGCCTGAAAGCCAGTAATCTAATACTAATAGAATTACTGATTGAGGAGGAACATTTTAAAACGTGCAAATGCATGTTTGCACTGGAATTTACTATAAGGTCACTGTGATATAGTAAAGAGGTAGGTAAAATTATTAGATCAATCTTTTCTAGAGATTTATACACACCAGTCTTTATCAACTTTAAAAACAATGCTCTCTCCCTAATTTTACTGAATCAACATGGTTGGTAACTAAGATCAGTCTTTAATAGACACAGATGATACACAGCTGGTGTGTCTTTGGTTTGCGTAAGGTTTTAACCCAAACTAAAGTATTTTAACTCACTGCGAGCTATAAAAGCTTATTCGTGAATATTCATGTTTTTATTTTGTATCTGCAGCACAGTGTCGTTGCATTGCGGGTGCTTTACTTCTCTTGTTTTCTTCCTTACTGTCCTCCTGTCTGTATGCCCGCCGCGGGGTGCCAACCCATTAGACCACCGGGACAATTCCTTCAGCCGCTCTCGCTCCTCCAGCGTCACCAGCATCGACAAGGAAGCCCGAGAGGCCATCAGCTCCTTCTACTTCTGCGAGACCTTTGCCCGGAAGGGGGACAGCACCCTGACACCCTGCCTGAATGTGGGCACCACCCTGGGGACTGTGCTGGCTCTGGCTCTTACATTGCCACCTGCTGGGGAGCAACGGCAACTGCAACCGGTTATCATTTCACCTACTGGTGGGTAATGGGATCATGGGGGAGGGAGGAGGAGATGGACTAATGACAACAATTTTATTGATTTGTGTGAAAACCTGATAGTTAGAAGTATCTTATTCTAAACAAGACATAGTCATGTTAAGCCTTGATCAAAAGAAGAAAATGTGATTATATTATGTTTTAGGCCTAAAATACAAGTTGGATGCATTTTATTTTCATCCAAATTTAATGTGTCCACTGTTGTATTGCTACATTTCTTGGTTCTTTGCTGCCACCCATTGGTGATTATTAAAATTGCATTAAACTTTAGTTCAACTTTACAGTTTCTGAGGTAAACAGAGGTTTGTTGCAGCCTTGAACTCAAACAAAACAAAAATCCACTAAAAAATTAAATGATGAAAGTCACAAAAAATGAAATTTAAGATGGAGGAAATACTTTCATATTGTAAGAAACCATTATGTTTTACAAACCATATAGTAACTGTCAATCTGAAATGAGGCTTTAAGGGTTTTCACAAAACAGCCACCCTGTGGAAAAAAGTTGAATGCACTGGGTTTGAGTTCAAATTTCCTTCTTTTCCTTCCATTCACCAGGCATGTTGGTACGACTGAAGGGCAGCATTATGCGGATGTCTGTCCTGGACTCCACAGGGTCCCAGCTGCCCTCCGCGTACGAGCCTTGGTTTGAACCTAACGTCACAGCAGACGGCGAGGAAAGAGAGAAGGTCCGTAAGCGACGACCCGTCTCCGTGTCCCCTTCGACCTCACAGGACCTCAACGAGAGCCAGTACGCTGTGGTGTGTTCGGAGAAACAGGCCAAAGTCATCTCCCTCCCCTCGCAGACCTGCATCTACAAACACAGCATCACGGAGACGTCGTTCATCTTACGGGCAGACGTGGTGCAGATGAGCCTCGGCGTGTGTTTGGCTTGTTTCTGTGCCAACGGCCACATCATGACCCTCAGGTGAGAGACATTAGTCTGCATCACAGGTCAGGCAGAAATAGTGCATTATTAATGAATGTATCAATCAAAGTCAGTGTGAATAAATCATAGTCATAGTATCAGATTTCATTGGATGTGAACTCTTGGATGTGACTTAATGTTTGATACAAGAGTTTGTGTTTTTAAAAGAAAATATGTTGGAGGGTATTTTTGCCAGTGTTGGTCAGTATTGTAAAGAGGGGTGGCTGTGGCTGAGGGGGTAGAGCGGTCATCCTCCAACCAGAAGATTGTGGTTTGATCCCAGTCTTCCCCATTCTGCATGCTGAGGAAGTGCTGCACCTGTTCTGTGTGTGTGTGTGTTTGCCTCTAAAAAGTGCATGAACACATGTAATGTTGCTTATTTCTCATTCATCATCTTTATTCCTGTGTCCCGTCTCTAGTTTGCCAGGCTTGAGACCGCTTATGGATGTAAACTACCTGCCTTTGACGGACATGCGGATAGCCAGGACGTTTTGTTTCACAAACCTCGGTCAGGCCATGTACCTCTGCTCCCCCACTGAGGTTCAGAGGATCACCTACAGTCAGGACACCTGTGAAAACCTCCAGGTCAGTAAACACTTCACTGCAGATATTTGTGGATTTAATGGGAAACATTACATCTGTAAATTCAGAAACACAAAAGCTGCAGATGGTACTGCATATAAAACATTTCATCATGTGTTGATGTTTCAGGAGATGCTGGGAGAACTTTTTACACCAGTAGAAACACCAGAGGCTCCAAACAGAGGGTTCTTCAAAGGTCTCTTTGGGGGAGGAGCGCAGTCACTGGACAGAGAGGAGCTCTGTACGTCAAACCCACAAACACGTGCACATATTCAGCAGTTCTGTCCATGCTGGTGTAAAGTTTCATCCACACATCTTTTCCTGTTTTCTCTTCCTTTCCTCCTCCTCTCAGTCGGCGAGGTATCAGCTGGAAAGGCATCTCGAAGCCTGGCCCAGCACATCCCAGGCCCCGGTGGCCTCGAGGGCATGAAGGGGGCGGCCTCTGGTGTGGTCGGGGACTTGGCACGTGCCCGAATAGCGCTGGACGAAAGAGGCCAAAAGCTGGGCGAGCTGGAGGAGAGGACGGCTGCCATGATGTCCAGTGCAGATTCCTTCTCCAAACACGCCCATGACGTAAGAGAAAATGCTTAGGATGTTAAAATGTGGAGAGTTTACACAGTGAAGCCAGGATATAGGATTCGGTATCTTGCCCAAGGACACTTCAGCATGCAGATGGGGAAGATCAAACTGCGCACCTTCTGGTTGGAGGAAAACCGCTCTCCCCCCTCAGCCACAGCCTCCCCAGCTGCTCGTGGTTGTGCACACATGAACGCTGCCTTACTGAATAGGAAGGATGCAGGCTGATGAAATTTGGTCCACTGGTATTTCACTTGATACAGTTTCAGCTCTGATTCAAGCATCAGAAGTTAAATATTTTTAATATTTGTACAATCTAAACAAACATGTACTTTTATTAGTAGTAGTTTGTTGAGCACAGAACAGGGAAACTGAATCACTGCATGTGTGTTTTTTTATTATAGAAATAATGATGAAATAATATGCAAAGAGTATTCTGCAGTGATATGCACTTGTACTATTTGCCCACTAGAGGGCAGTATATACATATAAAGTTCACAGTACTTTGGATTAAGGACTTGAGACGTAGATGAGGAAATATGATAGTTCCATTTATGAATTAGATTTATAATTTGAGAAACTAGATAAACAAACATTTAAGCAAAAATATAATAATTTGATGACATATAAAATGAGTGGTTGATGCTGTTTAAGCTCTGAATTTATCATAAGAATCGTGGATTGTAAAACACAGTTTTGTAAGTTTTCCTCATACATATTCTTTCTCCGACATTTCCTATGTTTTCAGATGATGCTGAAGTGCAAAGACAAGAAATGGTACCAGTTCTGATCAGCACCAGGGGAGGAGCAGAGCTCCGCGGACAAGGCTTTCACCATTCATTGGCTCATTCGGACTCACCGTGACCCCACCCTCCCCCACCCGTCCATTCACCGGTCCCTCCGAGCCTTCTTCACCGAGACACTTGGGATTTTCTTCCCTAGCACAATGATGAACACTGTTCTTACCTCAGTCTGAAGGTGGAACTGAGGGGTAGACGGAGGAGAAGGACGACCTCAGAGGGATCAGATAAATGGTGTCTTTTTTTTATGTTCTCGTCTCTCTCTCGCGCACCTGGAGATTCTTCATTGCCATTTGCCAAAAGCATCCTTTTACCGTTTTCTCCACCCCGGAGCCTCTGGTGGGCAGGATTCAAACCGATGAACACAGCCGAGAAAAGACAAGGCACCTAGTGAAGAAACAGACTAGAAAAAAAAATTCTTAAAATGTAAAAAGAAGGAAAAAGAATCTAAATACAACATTATATATACATAAATCTAATAAATGTGCAATGCTGTATCCACTTCCAAGTGACAAGTACAAAAGAAAGGGATAACTCACCGAGGAGACAGGAGCCGGGTGGGAGGCCGAAGGAGGCGGCGTCGGAGATCCACAGGAAGTGCTGCGACAGTGACGCCTCCTCTATGCAGAGAGTCACAGGGATAAAAGCAACTTACTCTGATGTACACTGGATATCTCGTCATCTCACTCAACCTCTAGACTCTCCTCTGTATCTTACAAGCGTTCATATCGTTACCAACAGTGTGTGTGTTCATTTCTATTTTCTTGCCATTCCTCTATTTGTTATCTGTTGGGGTTTTTTTTGCTCTGTCTGTATTATCGGAAAATCTCTTATTTTTCTATCGTTGTGAAAGTGGATGATGTTTGATTTGTTGAAAGTTTTTTGTGGCTTTTATCAAACAACTCAGATTAATTTTCTCCTAATGAAAAGGGCTGGAATCTTAAAGGAGGGCAAGGATATAAAAGGCATATTTATCATTTAGTTCTTACTGGGAAAAGCGTATAAACGACTCACTTTAATTGTTTACCTGAGGTTTTTATTTATCTGATGTTATAGAAAATAATCCTCGCTCACCCTCCAATGTCATGAACGTCCACAGTTTGGCTTCGTCTGTGAATGGGACTGTACAAATGCTGATGGGATCAGTATTAAATACGCTGGGAGTCGAGTCAAATGTGTTGGTTTCCAAATTCTGGATATTTATTTGTATTCGTATATGCAGGACAGCAGAGATGTGGATGTATGATCTGTGATTTGTCAGTTGTCTATATGAGAAAGTTGTGCGAGTGTGATTCCTTTGTTATATATATTTATTTATTGAGGTGCAAGAGACAGTTGTTTGGTGTCAGAAACGTCCACCTTCATCAATATCTCGTTTCTATGTCCATGTTTGCAGTAACGCTCAGATGTGGTGTATCTCTCTGTCTAACAGGCTTTTAACCTTTATTTGTATATAAGTAAATAGTTTGACAATCTAAGACCAACCGGAAAGTACATGTCAAGGTTGCTGCAGCGACGTAAAAAAGAGGAGAGAGGCCATATTTTTTCTGACGCCAAAGAGTTGCTTTAGCTTTTCCATTGCACTTTCATTTGGCTTCTTCACTCCACGGGTCGCGTGTTATTCCACATGGCTTCACCCGCGGAGTGCAGACCCTATTCTAGGAGTGCTATCATCTTCATCACCTTTTCAGGGTTAGAGAAATGGAGCAAGTTGCAATGGAACTCAGCCATTTTATAGTAACATTGTATCACAGTTTGTCATGAGATGTAACACTTGGACAAATGTTTAATGTTTAAAGTGGCCTAACTGTTGGTCGATGAGGCTCTTTCCCTTCAAACAGAAACCTGATCCATTCCACTGCAGCTCAGACACATGACTTACGGTATTCACCTACGTGTGTGTGTGTGTGTGTGTGTTTATATGCCCGTCTGTCTGTGTTAGGGTGTGTTCATTTAAGTTAAGTGATATTATTTAAGAGATATTTTGTTTAATAATTGATGTTGATGTCCTCACCAGTCTGTCCAGTTGAGTGTCTGTTACACTTAAGCCACCAGTGACGACAAAAAGAAACGAGTAAAGTCAAGATTAGACGACGACGACCTCTGAATTCTGGTTTAATTGAGCTTCATCCTCATGCCTCTACTTTTCAGCCTTTGACCTCTGACATGTCTCTTCCTCCACTGCTGGCTCCATCGTTCTCATAGCTACAGATATGGCCTTCTGTGTTTCGTAAGCGTCGTAGTGTGGATGTCGGTAGGTATAGATCTGTCCCCCCCC